CTCCATTGTTCCATGCACAGAAATCTGTGCACCGAGCGCCAAAGACACTTCGAGCTGGGATCTCGGCAGGCAATTCCACTGTTGCAGGCACAGAGCTCCACTGTTCCAGGCACAGAAACCTGTGCACCGAGCACCAAAAATACTTCGGGTGGGATTTCTAGATAAAGAAGCAGTAGCACACCTTATGGCCACAATTGATACAACAGAACATACCATTTCGGGGCGCGCTCCCCCTTGCTGCACCACGGGGTCGGCGGATTAGGCAATTGAAAATTGCACTATCATGGCGGAAATGACATGGAACAAGAAAGAGAGTGGTCACGGGTCGAGAATGAAATATTATTTTGCAATGTTGTTTTTGTGCATAGCGGCATAGCGGAGCGCAATTGACGTGCAGATTCAGCTGAACAGTGGTTGCAGCGTTTGGTGGACGACAACATCAGGCAGGGAGTCAGCCGTGGTTTCTTGAAGAGACTCACGATGGCAGAGCATAAGTTGTAAGGCGTGAGTTAATAAGGAGTGTTTGAGAAGGGGATTAACAACTATATTAATGTGTTCATGTTGATTGTCGTCTACTGATGAACCAGTGCAAAATCTATAAATGGGTGCCGAACAATCCTATAAGAAAAATATGCAATATGCAGTGTATACATGTATATACATTATATATGTTCTCGGACATTTCGGCCCCCCTGGAAAGCAATTGTGAATCACTGTGAATCATATGATCTAACTTCATTTGTTGTATATGTGTATTGTAATTCATCCCTTAACAAATCAATCATTTGCTACAAGAGTAAATGCAACAAAAATATATTATCCCGCCAAGAGACCCCAAACAGTGTAAAGGTGACATACGACGAGTTTGATAAAGAAGTGATGATTTGGTGGAAGGAGAAAGTAGAGGGAGTAGGCATTGGAGGTATGGCACCCGCGAGCACAGGGAAGAGCAAGTGGAAGCCAAATGCCCTGCAGGATCAGAGGGGAAGAGAGAGTAGACAGAACAGGAAGCGGAAGAGGAAAGAGAAGGGGGTTAGTGACCGGCTGGAAGCTTTAGTGGACAGCGAACAGAGCGAGCGCAGGTCGGACCCTGTTTTCCGTTGCGGTGTGCGAGCAGTTGCCGCGGATCGGCAGACGGAAGTGGGTGTCGCGGAGCCGTGGGCGAGAGCTGCGTCGCGTAACTGCAGACAGGAACTGTCTTATACCTGGGCGCGGGAGCACGCTGTGTTCCATGTCGCGTGTCCGCGGACGACGTGACTCGTTGGACCCGCGCGGAGGCGCAGAACGAGTCACAGGCTTTCTCCAGCTGTGTCGCTGGGGTAATCGAAGGCCATGACCGCAGCACTTTCCTCGTTGACCACTTCCTGGAGTTGCGGTGCACTGTGCTCGATGTCGCGTGTCGGCGGACATGACCCGTGGACGGACCCGCGTGGAGGCGCAGAACCGGTCGTGGAGCCGCGGACGGTAGCTGCGCCGAGCCGTGGACACATGGAATCTGGGCGCAACTGAATACTGAATGTCTGCTTGTCAGGCGCGCAGCGACCAGAGGAGTGGAACGATTGAGCGTGGAAGCTGGAAGTCGCCATGCTGCATTTGCCACTGCAGGACTTGTCGGAGGTCAGTGGTTGCGTCGCAATATGTCACACAGCATTTCATTGCTGTCGTAGCAGCTGCCAGTCGAGAGTAGGGTGACATCCTTGATATGCATCAACGTGCAAGTCTAGTGGCGTCTTTGCGCAGTCACTTCGGAGCGTGCGGTCGGTATATGATCAACAAACGGAAACGTGGCTGAGGGCTTCACAGCGCAAAAACGAATCCTTCTCGATTGTCTCTATGATCGCAGGGAATGCCAGGGTCTGTAATGCCCAGCAGAGTTGGTAAAGCGGTCGAGCGGGTTTCACGTAGTCTTCGCCTTTGCGGCAGCTGTAGCCGAAAGAGCAAGGTGCATTTCAGAAAACTTCCAGATTTGATTGTAACAATTCCGGTTTCATTGAGATTGACCCATGCGAGTTGAGTGCATTGTGCGAACGGGTAAGGTCGCATTGTGCGGACAAGCGGGGGTAAGGCAGGTGAGTCTGATCAAACCTGATCATCGAGCCCTGGAAGCACGATTGCAGAATGACAACGTGATGTAATCGAAAACAAAATGCTTTGAGCTGTTTGCAAGTTACATTAGTGGCAACTGAGGTTGTATTAATGACATCTGAGGATGCTAAACCTCCGCTACCACAGTACAGTGCCAACTGCAATGTAGTAATGTAGCACCATTGCACTCAGCAAACAGTGTGCCTGCCAATTGCAATGTGAGGCTGAGAGAGATGCTAGGACAAAAGGATTTTACTCTTACTTAAGGATCAAGTTTTCTCTATACTTTCTTTTGACCTAGTTTTTTCTCACAGGTCTAAAAGATGCACCATATCAAGATAGAACCAGACATTGCAACTCCAGCGGATTTTGTAGAGGAAAGCAAAGCGTAGTACATAGTTCCAAGAACTATCCGCTGAAGGTGCTCTGTAGTGCGTCAGCCGGGCCGAGCGCCGCCATTCCGCTGCCCTTCTTTTGTGGAAGTGGTTTCATGTTGAAATATGTTGAACCCAATCCTAAAGATTCATTCAACTCTGGTTTCCTAGAGTTCCCACACCGCACTACAGGCACAAGAAGTTTGCCAACGCAACAATGCTATGGACCCATGTCAAAAACAAAGCACCCAATGGATGCTTAGATGATTCTAGATGTATCTACTTTTTGCACTTTAGATAGTTGCTCGGGCGGCGGTGTTGCCATGACATGGCCACCACTGGTCTTCACCTCAGGGACGGGTTTGGCATCCAAGCGGACCCGAAACAAAATCCTCATCTGCACGACATCCATCAGAGAAAAACTCATGAGAAAACTCATGACTCAGTTGATTGTGTTTGAGTAGAAAGGTGAGTTGGGATTCACTTCTATTTCAATATGTGTATATTACACATATTATATACAAGTCGATCTACATATACAAGTATGTGATATGTTTGTGTTGTTCTTTACTGAACCGATCCTGTGCTGGCAACAGCTTCACTCCATCCTCAATGACTCAGGCGTTGGCAGATTGGATTGCCTTTGCAGGCAAGAGACCTGAGGAGGGGGGTGGCCCAAAACAAAATGGAACAGGTCAGATTGAGGACCAAAGAGATGCTGGACACTCACTTGATCACAGTTATCCTTTTTTGGGTCGAGGTAGCTTGTGGCCAGTCTCCCCTTGGCCAAGCTGTGCATCGTGAACTTAAGAGAACGTAACCCACCGGAAGATAACAAAGAAAGGATACCCATGTGTTTGAACAGGTTCAACAAATTGGTAGTCCGGTGAGATATTGAAATCACTTCTGGATTCCACCACGTCCAGCCATCAAGCTGGCACGCTGAGTGCTGTCCATCCAAGCTTGGATTGCTGCAGCACGCCTGCCGTTTGACGGAGGCAAACCACATTTCTTGATCCATTCAGCGATAAACTTATAACCTTGGCTTGTGCCATGGGTGATTGTTGACGACTAGAAGACGATCCGGACTCCGTGGTTTCATTTGAAACCCTTGGAACCCCTTTCGACACCCATTTCTTGTGCCATGCATCACTGTTGACCCTGTGTTTCTCACTTGTCTTGTACTTCTTGTCGTCGACTTCGGCAGCACAGGGATCAGGTTGACCTGCCTTCTCAACCGCATCATCAAGCTGGTTGTCCAACAAAGTATCGACTGGGATGGGACCATCTGGGCTTGGTAAAGCACCTTTGCCACCAACCTCAACCTCCTCCTCAACGGTATCAATGGTAGGATCACCTGCGGGCTCATAAGGGTCAATGAGTGCAGCTTCCTGGATCAACGACGCAGGCCTTGCCGAGGTTTGATGTTCAAGGCGCTCAGGAGGCTCAGGGTCGGTCAGGAACTTGTTGACAAAAAACCCTGGCTGATTTTCAGGCTTGTAACCCTCCAAGTCTTGATCAAAGCGACGTCTCTTTTGCAGAACCCCTCGCTTGTCATCAAGGGGTTCGGGCTCCTTCAAGTTGACAGCAGTGGCCAATGAGACACCCTCCAAATCCTCTTCAAGATCGGTAGGCTGTGAGTCGCTGCCGAAGTGTGCACCACCATCATGCCTCAGAGGATTGCAAACAAACATTGAGGAGGATGAACCAGTCCTCGAACATGGATGAACCCCTACTTGGATGAACCCCTACATTAATGAAGTTAGTATGCAACTTTTGTTTGAGGATTGCCATTTAACAATCCAAATAGATCCAAATAAACCATGGACAAGATACAAACCATGGACAAGATACAGGCGCCACTGGGAATCAATCTTTGGAGATTCAATCATCGTCTCCACAGGCTGCGCGATAAGAGCTGGAGCTGCTGCCGTTTGCACCAGGCATAGGCTTTGCGAACGGGGTCGGGAGAGGTCATGAATGACCTGGAATGCAGGTTTTTTGGGACCAGCCTCATCACCTGCCGTACGGGCCCTTTTGTGGTAAAGGGCATTGCTCTTCGAACTGGCCGGCTCATACTCCAGCACGCCATCGTCCACAACTATTTGTGTGAACAGCGATGTCATCAGGTTTGGATGGCGTGGCAGGCAAAAAGCTGGAGATTTCACACACTCTCAAAAAAAGAGAAAACTGTTTCAATTTCACCGGTTACTGTTTCATCTGTTTCAATTTCAGCAACAAGAAACACTGGTGTTGCAGCGCGGGATTGAACAGAGCCTGTCAGTACTTTTTTCTTTTCACCCACGAGATCTCTGGATGGTACCTGGTAGACACCAGCCTCACTGTGCACAGTAAGGCTGACTCGCGGAAGACACTGGTTCCCCAAAAGCATTTCCCAATTCAAACCAAAACTGGAAACCAAACTCAAACTCTCACCTGAACTCGACAGGGAACAACATGTTGTTGGATATTGGTCCTCATGATGCATGGTGAAACTTTCTTGTCATAACAGTGAACAGGAAATGCGGTCCCCTAAATGATCTAAATGATGCGCTGGCAACCGTCCTTTGCCGGCTGCAAATCTGCTGGGAGAAACCAAAGCGGCTTTGCAGCCGCAATCATCCGCTCAGCCGGGTATAGGCGGAGCCTCCAAACCTCAGGAGTATTTTGGACAAGGGTTGACAGAGACTGACTTTTGTAGATGATGGTAGATGACCCACCCAGCTTACAAGAATGGTTGATGACCAAACCGCCACATTGAAGTCTCATGACATGATGTCACCTGGTGAGAACCATTAAGCTAAGGGGCCAGGTGCAGCGGTGAATCTTTGAGCGCAGAGAGTGTGAAATGGCTCGCAATGTTGGTCCCTTTCAAATTCTTGGCCTGAATGGCTTGGGGCCTCCAAATGAGTGGGTTGCCGTCCTCTGGCATCACATCGAAATGGTCAGGGGCTTTACCCTGCTGGACATCCGGCGGTCGTGCAACCTTGTGCCCACCCAACTGGAAATCTACGATGCCCTGGGATTCGATGTGCTGCAGGATGGTCCTCAACGATTGCATCGGCCCATCCACACTGTTCTCCTGCAAGAAAAGGCTGGGGTGGTGGCAATGGTTTGGAAACTGTTGGGAAAACCTTTGGGAAACATGTTTAATACTGTTTAGCCACAACACTGGTCCTCATAGATGCATCCGATGTCGTCGGAGTCAATCTTGCACGGAATGCCACGGTCGGGGTTGTTGCTCTCGAACTTAGCCGCCTTGTCACCTGTCAACCACGATCCTGCCCCGTGCGACACGATTGCCCCCTCCAGGGCTTTCAGGTGCACCGCGCACTCCTTAGCCCCCACATACAATTGGGGGCCCGGCGCTAGATAGAGCAAAGTCTTGCCAATCCCCACCATCTCAGTCAAATCAGCCCCAAACTTTTGCTTCAAGGCATCCAAAGTGGTAGGCGACCCAGAAAAACATGTAGCCCAGTCAAATGGTTCCAGCTTGAAGGCTGACTCCATTTCTTCCTTGACTTCTGGCTTCGTGTTCTCGCGAGTGCCAGGCTGATTTTCACCTCCAGCACCTGCAGGAGGAGGAGTGGCCCCCCAGTCTTTGTCGAAAGCAACGAGCAGCTCGCGCCACTCTGGTCCATGCACTGGGCATTGCATGAAGTGCTGGCGTACATCACGGGGTATTGAGATCTTCCCATTGTTGTGTTGACACAACTTGAGTTCAGGGAGCTCTGGTGCCTTTGGAAGGTCATCACTGGGAACGTCTTTCTTGTGCCTCTTGGATTGGCCATCCATGGGGTGGGCTCCTTGTTTCCAGGCCTCCAAACAGTTGCAATTGCGCAGGTATATACATACAAAAATTATTGGCTGGACATGTTTTATCATGTTTTGTTTGTACTGGACTTTGTGTGTGTGTGCGTGTTGAAAAGGTCCGGGCCTGGAGCAAGTGGTTCTTCACAGCATCCGATGAAGCCTTGAAGTGGGCGTCCACAATGCTGGTTCCCATGACCCACATCCCCTCCGAGATCGCTGCCAACTCAAGGGCGCCGTCGTAGGAAGTAGGGTGCAGCACTATTGTTCCAAAGCTGTTCTTCACACCACCTTGGACATGACATGTTCCCAGGAAATCCACAAAGTCGTGCTGTTTTTATGCCTAAACCATTCTCAATCAAAAGAGCGCTTCATATATGAGCGGGGCGCTCATCAAAGACTTCAGCACCATGCGAGGGACATTGATGCCTCCGAGCCATTGGGCAGTTTCCTGCAAGTCTGTCAGGTTCCGTCGTTCGGAGTGTGATAGGATCGACTGTGAAGGGACCACGAACTGGGACTCTGGGATAGCAGCAGGAAACTGCTGGAGCACTTGCCGAAGCCACAAGCTACTGGTGCAGAACCTGGCTGGGGATGGCTGGGTGGTGGGTGATTCTATTGAAACTGCCCATTAGATCACAAACCTGTTTCATAGGTATGGTTTCCAGAAAAATGACAGAAGTCAAGGAACGCGTTGACCATGGCCTCTGATTCAGGCGCTCCCCTCACCACACGGTGAGCAGTACCACGTAGTGGTAGTGTTGAGTCAGCCACGCCTAGGAAGGATAGGAAAGCACCAGGCATCTCCCGGTTTTTGCGCAAGTCTTCAAGGTTGAGGTTGAGGGTCCACGGCCTGAGCTCGATCTTGTGGTTTGCAAGTTTGTCCTCCAGCTTCCTGCAGGTCATGAGAGCCATCCCAAGTTTGGAACCGATGTTGATGTCGGGGTTGATGGTCTAAAAAACAGCTTGGAACACTGCAGGAAAGGTTTTTGTTCACCCAATGCCTGATGTAAAGAGCCTGCAGCTCCTCTGGCGAGAGTCCCATGGCAAAATGCCCAAAATGATTGAGTCTGAGGTGGTCACACACTGCCCATGTCCATGAGTGAGTGCTCACACACTGATGATTTCAGATTGATGCGGTAGCATTTTGGGTTGTTAATGGTTGTTATGAACCTCACCTCAACAGTCGCCTGGCCAAAAGGCTGTAGGTAGACATACATGTTCCATCATGTTCAACATGGTGCACTGCACGCTGGACACCTACTGGATCCAACCCTCTTGGGTGCCCAACCAATCGATGGGTGGTTGCCTGCAGGTGGCCTGCCAACGCTGAATCTGAGCGCTGAAAGGTTTGATCTAGGCATATCTAGGCACTGCTAAACATTTTCTCCTACATATTTTCAGAATAACCCTAAGATAAACATATCTAGATAGCCCCACATCGCCTCTGTCGATTGATGGAAGGCAGGCGGCAGGTGAAGAAGTCCTGCGTTTTCACCGTGGTTGATGTTCATTTTTTGCAGATTGATTCTTTGGAGTCTAAACTTTAGAGCTTGTTTGTGAGAGGCGGCATCAACCAAATGTTCTGAGTTTGTGCCCGCCCGACTTGGATTCAAAGGACGTCCTGTGAAAAGATTGCTCTGAGGAGGGGGAGCACCCTGGGCACGGCGGAAGCAGAAGATATGCACCACCAATCCTGAAAAACTGCTAAATGCTGCTAAAGCATGTGTTGGACACCACCATCCTGAAAACGTGTAACTCTTGTCATCTTTGACATCTCCAACTTCTTGACACCTAACGTCTTTGACATCTCCAACTTCTTGACACCTAACTTCTTTGACATCTCTAACTTCTTGAGACCTAACTTCTTTGACATCTCTAGTTTCTTGACATCTTTAAATTCTTTGAGGAGCCTGCGAAAAAAAGCCCAGGCATTCTTGATGTCGAGAAATGGCCTCTTTCCAGGATACACGTGGCCTGCTTCAGCGACCACGGTTCGCGCAGAACCTTGAGTTTAAAAAATCACGGCCGCATTGATTGGTGCATCTTTTTTCCCTGTTTTCCCTGGACAAAATTTTTATAAACACTTGCACGTTTTGCTATTAAACAAATAGGTTACTACAGTTACAATTGCAGTTGGCATTGTGTCTACTGAGTGCAATGGTGCTACATTACTACATTGCAGTTGGCAGCACCTTTTTTCTGTGGTAGCGGAGGTTTAGCATCCTCAGATGTCATTAATACAACCTCAGTTGCCACTAATGTAACTTTGGCGTCCCAAGAAAAGTAAAGTGCATAGGGCAAAACAGCAAGTCTGGGAGGCAAATTTTTGTGTGTATCCGTTGTTTTGGATACAACTTCTGCAAGGCAACTGCATCCTTCGAAGATCGCCTCATGCGGTTGGTTCACCGTGGATTATAAAGCTTTTCAGAGCCGAGCAGAAGGTGAAAGGATGCGAAGCCCAGGTGGCAAATTGATCCGTCGCAGGTTCGGACAGTTACAAAAAGTTCGTGATCCAGTTCAATGCTGCGGATAGTTGGGGCAAAACCGACATGCTTTAAGGACGTTGGAGCGTTGAAGGCGTCGGCGGTGTCCTGCGTCTGTGTTCCGAACGAACTGCAGGCGCAGCGATGCTCTGAACGCCTCGGCGAAGCTGAAGACACGCGGTAACGATGAAAACAGTTGAATCGACATATTGGGAAAGCGGGTCTTCGAGCCTGGGAGTGACTTTATATGAGATTGCGATTCGATTCCCAAAGGCGTCCTCTGGATTTTCTGTTTCGATTGCTCGTAGAATAATTTCTAGGTTTGTGATCGAAAATTTCTCATTGCCATTGAATTCGCAGTTGTCGTCCGGACTTGAGAGTGATAATTTTGTATGATGCTTGGAACCCTGCGACGGACATCAGCGGAGAAGAAGTTCAATTGGTGACTCTTGATATACGTTGTGCAACGAGGCGAATTTCGATCTGCTGGGGCCCGGCGGGCGCTTGTCGCGACTGCGCTCTGCGGTGCGGCGCCGCGCGCGTTTTCGTTGCAGGCGGGGAACGTCGCGCTTTGGTGGCCCAAAGTCAAATTTTCGTGACAGGCGCAAGGGATCGGAGCGGTTTTACTTCAAAAGTAGATTTCGTGGCAGCGCTGCACTTTGGATATCATGGTACTTTCATGACAGGTGCAGTGAATGGGGACATTTCTACATATATGGTTCGTTTTCAGAAATCGTGGCCGGCCGGCGCATTACTTTGTGGACCTTCAAGGGTAGATTTTGTGGCAGGCACAGCGCTTTGTGAACCTCAAAGCGCAGATTTAGTGGCAGGCATAGCGCTTTGTGAAGCTCGAAGTGCAGATTTTGTGGCAGGCAGCGCGTTGTGAACCTATTGAAGTGTCTAGTGAAGGTTTCGCGGCAGGCGCGCCCAGAGTACGCCTTATTGAAATATTCAAAAACTTTCGCTTGTTTCTAATAAAACTGGATATCTTACTGGTTTGCGTTTCAATAACATTTTGGTGCCTGAACCAATAAGGAACCTACCTTTCAATAAGACCAATTTCAATGATTTCTTTGTCCAGATGTTCATTTCAACACAAGTGACACAAGTGCAAGATGTCTCTTTTTTGCAAAGCAAGTCTTTTCAGGGCTCTTGTAGCCCTTCTTGAGGGCATTGCCTTTGTACAAGGCATTGCCTTGTATTCAAGGCTGTCAAGAGGCATCGCCGGCTGCAGACAAAGCCTCCTCTCCATGGAGATAGCGCAGGATCTCCAGAGGACCTTCTCAGCCACCAAGTGTGGGGCACTGCCATTTAGGCAATTGTGAGCAAGATTGGCTTGATAGCTAACCATGGTTTCTCCTGAGTAAGTACTCATGAAGCGAGGGTTCATGAAGGCTGCTTGGTACCCCATGTGTGCCACTAGGTGGTGCTTATGGACAATTGTCCATTGTAAAAATCCCTGATCAATAGATAGCTTGGCGCATCGAGAGTAACGCAAAAAGTGTCAGGTCACAGACCTTCTTGAACGCCTTGCTGTCTTCCTTGCTCGTGTGAATACCATTTGAATCCATCAAGTCATACATTTGGGTGAGGTTCACCCAGCACCCCAACCTGTGTTTGCAATAGGAATCTTCATGGTCAGTGTAATCTTGAATGATCTCTTTCATGACTGGGATGAGGTAGCGAATGTGTCTGGCTTTGTGCCCTGTGATTTCAGGAAAGCTTTCATATTTCTGGCCTTTGCAAGTGATCTTGGACGGGGTCAGTTTTTTTGATCTGATTGCTTGACTCAATGCCAAGTTCAACATACTGTTGTCTGATAAGCTCTCTGCAAAATTTGATCTTGACTCCCAGCTCCAAGGCCACCTGGCTTATTCCTGACACATTGGACCATTGGAGTGGCTCTGCGTCCTTGCAAACCACACACGAGGCAGGAAAACTGCCAACTTCTCACTGGCCAAGAACCACTTGTCTGCCCCATGTTTCATTGCAGTGGCTTCAAGCAAGTAGGGGAAAGGAACATCCAACTCTTCACTCTTGCAAAATTTCGATGTGAAATTGGCCAGCCACATGGTCCTGATCCCTTCCAAAATTTCCCAGGCTGGAAAGGTCTTGTATGTCATGAGCAGTCACTTCTGACATTGCTGCAAAAGCTAAGCTCTGCGCTGAAGAGCCCTGAGCTGCAGCAACTGAAAGAGGAAACACTCCACACAACTCAGACACAGAAACTGCAGCAAAGCCTCTGACATCCCATGTGCAAATTGGTCTAGCAATGCCAGACCAAGAGGGCTCGTCTTGGTGTGTTTTCCATGTGTCCATACAAGGCTCTGCCCTTATCCAGCACTGAAAAGACCCTTTGCGAAGGTCTTCTTGGTGAAGTCTGTATTTGTGCCGAACCCTTGGCTGAACAAAAGCCTGTGGCAGAGTCAAGTGGAGAAAGACAACGTTTCATTGAGAGCTCACACATTTTTTTGCCTTTAAGGCTGCCATCTTCAAAACAAAGCTGTGCCCTTCCTCATTGCTTCGCCTTTCTTCAAGGCCCAAGGTTTTTTGTTTCTACTTGATTCTTTCGATGGCCAAAGCACCTTCAAAGAGCTGCTGCTTGGCTGTTTCCATGTTCAACTTGGCGCCAGTCCTTTGCAGCTTCTTGAGCTCCTGCAAGCAATCCAGAAGCTTTTTGCCTTCGGGGGTGCTGGACACCACCTTTGAATCCTTTTTCACCTTCTCCAACAGAGCCACCATCTTTAGAACTTTTTCACCTTCTCCAACAGAGCCACCATCTTTAGAACGCTCTTTTTGGCCATGTCCTTGTTGCTGCTGGCGCCTATGTCACTAGGAGCTCAGCCTCCTGGTATGGACCTTGCTATGCTTTCTTTGGGCTTGGCTCTGGCTCTGTTTCCATGGCTTTGCGCTCATCCATCCCCACGAGGCCAGCTGCTTTGACCTTGATGAAGGCAACTGCGTCTGCCTTCCAGAGGCAGAAGCTTGCTTCTTGTATTGGGTTTCCTCCTCAAGTGCAAATTGCAACTTTGCTTTATCTTTAAAGTCTTTCCTGGCCTTGACGCTGCCCTTCTGGACCTGCCCAGGCAATGTGCAAACATAATACGATTTATCCATACCTGTCAAATGGGACGCTAGACTGGGATTGAAAGAGTCTAGCATGCCAACCAAGGAGCTCTTCTCATGGTGGCAAAGGGCGCCCATTGTTCCTTTTCCTTCTTTCCCCTCATTTCAGTCAGCTTGATCATCTCCTTCATAAAGCGATCATTCTTTTTGAGATTGCCCTCATTCTGCAGGAACACCTTGAGCAAGGCCTTCTTCTTGCTGTCACTTCCATTGCCTTTGCCGTGTGTGTTCCATTTCTCCTCCAGGTCCTTGTCCCCCAAGGCTTCTCTAGCCCTTTTTGAACCTGCCCCACATGCATTCTCT